TGCGTCCGCAATCACCTACTTTTAGACTACATAGCAGCAGGTGAAAAACACTAAGTGAAAAGACAATGCCTGAATTCAGAGTATTCATAAAACAGTAGGCAAAAATTCCCCAGATGACCTACAATTCCTGGGGAGATTCTGCAGTGGGCATCTGATAAACACTGTACTAACCCACGAGGCAGTGGGAGAGGATTTTTGAATGGCAGTTAAGCAACTGATATTGTAAGTCACATGACAAAGACAACATGGCAGATGTAATAGGCCTACTTGGAACATACATTTTTAATGTAAGTTTTTATTCAAATGTAGTACCTTCTCAGAATCTTATTGAGTTGTCTATTTAGGAAAAGACTCCCTGTACAGCAGTAAAAGTGATTCTCCTCTGACAGGTGAAGTACATTAGCAATCAGTATTGTTTTCTCATATTTCTCCCACTTTCCACAGACAGCACTAAGATCCTGTTGGCTTCAGTTTCTCTTAGACTGTATACTGTCATTTATCCTCTTTAATAATTGAAAACTCATGTCTTTCTGTTCTTGATCTCGTTGCCATAAAATGACTGCTATAGAAGTGAAGGCTATTCTGACAGTGGGACACGGTGCACCCTAGGCTCTTCATGAATGTGACATGTTCACTCATGTTTATGTCCCTTACACAATGCAACACAAGAATCTGCTGTTGATTTTTTTTCTCCATTTCAGTTATGGATTCAAGTGAAATGACACTCATGAACATATATGTGGCCTCTTAGAGAAGCTTTGCTTTTAGTATCAGTTGATAGGAAGTCGAGCAAAGGTGGTTTGACAAGCAAATGCATGACTTCTTTAATGTTCTAAAGTGCTCAGTATAACCTGTACGTGCTGCTGCTATGAAGAATCCAGCATAGCTGTTACTGGGTCAAATTGACCTGAAATGACAAATCACAGTTCAAGAGTCACAATTTGCTGTTTGTGACTGAGCATGAGTAAGAGTCACGATGACAGTGAAAGCATTTTATCTTGACAAATCACATCTGCGCAGGGTGTCATAAGGTTCCAGCCATTTCAAGGCCAAAAGGTTAATATTAAAGGGGTCATATGATGCGATTTCAAGTTTTCCTTTCTCTTTGGAGTGTTACAAGCTCTTGGTGCATAAAGAAGATCTGTAAAGTTGCAAAGACTAAAGTCTCAAATCCAAAGAGATATTCTTTATAAAAGTTAAGAGTTAGCCACGCCTACCTAAAACGGCTCGTTCTAACATGCCCCCACATGTCTATGTAACTATGTGGAAATATTAGCATAATGCCGCCCAAATGTGCACGCAAAGAAAGAAGGCGTGGTTTCAGGAACAGCAGTAGTGTTGATGCAGCCATGTCAGGGAGACGCTGTGTTTCAGTGTGAAAGCAATAGCACTTAATTTGGCCTTCCGGAAGTAGATGCAATTAGGAATCATTGGTTAAGATTTATTTACAACAGAACAGCACAACCCAGATGTTCGAATTTGTACAACGCATTTTATGGACGACAGTTTTTTGAACCTAGAAGAGTACAAAGCTGGCTGTGCACAAAGGCTATTTCTAAAAAAAAAAAGGGTCAATTCCGACTTTGCTATTGTGTGTGTGTGTGAGGGGAACAGGGTCACTTCACAGGAGAGTGAACTGCCTGTCAGAAATCATAGCACGTCAGCTGTCTTAACCGTGGCTTGTGTACTGCATCATCACTGTGTCTATCACGTGACTCTGTTGCCCTTTCGGGCTTGAACTGATGGTAAAACTAACAACATTATTAACTGTCTTGATATTTACTTTGAAAGCTGAAGCTGCGATTATGGTAAGGGGCGTTACATTTCCGATGCGTGCTTGTGATGTTCGGCCAATCACAATGCACTGGGTCAGCTGGCCAATCAGAGCAGACTGCGCTCGTCAAAGGAGGGGGCTTTGTTGAAAACGACACGTTTGAGAGAGTTGGGGCATAGAGGACCTACAATAATGTACAGTATTTGAAAAATAACGTGTTTTTTGAACATTAAAGCATGTCAACATATTCTGTTACACCAAATAATGATCTTTAAAATAGCATCATATGACCCCTTTAAGTTACAGAAAATCTGTTAAAGCTAAACCGTGTCAAAATGACCCACAACAACATGGTTAACCCATTTGATGGAGGTGAGGCCTATTATGAATTTTAAGCTGATGGAACATATTTTTTCAAGTTGCTGTACATAATCGTGATTTAGGAGTCTCTTTAGTTGCCCAATATATTTATAGTGGCTAACTTATTATTATGGCATTTATTATATTGCTCAGTAGTCTGATATCCATGCATGTTTGTATATGCTAATGAATCTGCCATGTGTCCAAGCCGATCACAAAAGGAATGGAGAGCGTCAGAGCACATTTATGAATCTGTTGAGGTAGGTGTTCTGTACCTTTTTCCATCACAGACTGGGGTGAAATTAGATTCCACACCTGTTAAACTGGGCACTGAGGAGTGTAGAGACATTCAGTTGGTGTTTTCTGGCTGATGTGTAATGCAGTAGGGTCAGGTACGAATGGTGTGCAGATGTCACTGACAAGGTAAATACACATTTAAAATGTTGGTTGCAAAGCTGTGGCTTCCTCTGTGAGGAAATCTTTGACAAGGTATGTTGTTGATGTGAGACATGAATAGGAAAGAGAGATTGATGCCAATTTTTCATTCATACCACTTTGGCTGCTGTAATTGTAAAACACAATATATTTTTCACAGTATCTTTAAACATTTAACATTCTTTTGTAAGAACACGTAACAAATAGATTTTTTTATTAGATTTTTGCATATTGATTTTCAGTGTGTCAGACGGTGAAGTAAAATGTTATCTGCTGCAGACCATAGGTCACAAAAATAGATTTTGTTTTAGAACGTTACTGCCACCTACTGGCAAACAATTGCATTGCAGACTCTTAGTGACATTACAATGAGACGCGGACGACCGTTCAGTGCTGCGTTTCCCAAAAGCATCGTAAGCTTAATACATCGTAGACCCATTGAAACCAATGGAGCTACGATAAACGTAGGCTTACGATGCTTTTTGGAACCGCAGCCCAGTTTTGTTCAGTGTATGAAGAAGCTGAAAACCCCATGTTAAAGGAATAGTTTACCCAAAAATGAAAATTTGCTGTAGCTACTCACCATCAGGCCATCCAAGATGCAGGGGCTAGATGAGTTTGTTTATTTATCAGAATAGATTTGAAGAATTTTAGCATTACATCGCTTCCTCACCAATGGACTTCACGTCACAAGATTTTAATTGATGGACTGGAGTCGTGCGGGTTTATATGATGTATTGTAATGTTGTTATCAGCTGTTTAGACTCATTCTGATGGCACCCATTCACTGCAGAGGATCCATGTGATGATGAAACAAACTCAACTACGTTTTGGATGGACTAAGGGCGAGTTAATTGATATTAGATATTAAGTTTGCAATAAAATCTGTATTCAACGTGTAGTATTTTTTCTTCTGCTTTCATGTTCACACGTATAGATCTGGTTAGCACAGAGCATCGAACTTTCAGTCCCACCTTGACATGCAAGGACTGTCCTTGCACCCAGTCATTGCCTTAAAGGGATAGTTCACCCAAAAATGAAAAGTTGATGTTTATCTGCTTACCCCCAGGGCATCCGAGATGTAGGTGATTTTGTTTCTTCAGTAGAACACATATGATGATTTTTAACTTCAACCGTTGCAGTCTATCAGTCGTATAATGCATGGCAATGGTAACAAAATCTATGAGAGTAAAAAAAACATGCACAGACAAATCCAAATTAAATCTGCGCACGGCATCCGGTGCGTGAGGTGTGTACGCGCTCTGGCGTAGTTTACGTTAATGGGTGTGTTGATATCCAGCCGAAGAGCAATCAACCATAACTTCAGGCGAGCAGGCTCAGAAGTTGGGAATACGTGGAAAGTCACCACTCCCGAATGAGTTCGCGCGAGAGAACGTAATCTTTTAGTTTTAAGTCGGTTTGAACAATCCGGATAAGCGCAAGTAAGTACCATTTTGATCAACCGTCGTACCTACAATGACTGTGCACTGTGTAAACAATGAGTGACGTATACGCGCGAGAGATCACTTCCGGCGCTTGCGTAAACTACGCCAGAGCGCGTACACACCTCACGCACCAGATGCCGTGCGCGCGCCAAAAGACAGTTGGACATAGTGGTGTATTAGAGGTAAAATATGATATAAATACTGTTCGGTTTCGGGCACAAACCGATCGTTTCGTGTCTTAGGACATCAATGTGTAATCACGAGTCCCAGGGTTTAATTTGGATTTGTCTGTGCATGTTTTTTTTACTCTCATAGATTTTGTTACCATTGCCATGCATTATACGACTGATAGACTGCAACGGTTGAAGTAAAAAATCATCATGTGATCTACTGAAGAAACATTTTGGATACCCTGGGTGTAAGCATATAAACATAAAATTTTCATTTTTGGGTGAACTATCCCTTTAATATTTATAACAGTTAATAAATGTTAATTTATAAATATGTTGTTGAATTAGTAATAACATAAAACCAGTTAATATTTGACATTAGGACATTTCATTAGTTAAGTACTGAAGGATGTGATCCCCCTGCTGATTCTTGATTCCTCTGAATATCATCCTCATCCTACTTCGTGTTTTTCCTTGACATATTCGCATTTTCCTGTTGAGTGAGGTTATTGCTTCAATCACTGATTATTACATTTAAATAGTTGCTTACACTTTTACAAATGAACCTTAAATGATGTATAGATTAATGGAAAGACTAACACTTTTGGTTAAAAATGCCATTGCTGTTGTCAGGCTTGTTCTCAGACTTGGGTGTTTCCTATAAGCATGCATTTCCATGTGCTGTAAAAAATCAATGCATTTTAACTATGAATCGTTTTGAACTATGCCGTACATGCAAGAATAACAGGCTTTATAAAAGCCCACTTGCATGACCTCAAAATAAAGTACATATACACACACAACAAACAGAACAAATTAACAAGTACACAAGTGTCTTTATTTACGCAAGCAAGTTTGTTCCTACAGTTCGAAAAGAAAAGAAAAAGCCACTGTCAAGCTGTTGGCACATTTATGTACAAAACCAGTTAATTTTACTGCCTGCTACAAAGCATTCTCAGTGAAAGTACAAAAAACTAGTACAGTATGTGGATAAAGCTGAAAGCAATGTCAGGGTAATACTGGATACGCACCATCATAACAAGAATATAAGACATGGTTCAGAAAATTCATCACAAACTAGAAAGGACAAAACAAACACTACAACCTAATAAGATATTTAGCTTAATATTGTTAGCGTAGCAACTGTAATACTGCACATTTAGAAAAAAAAATTAATTGACCAGCAAGACATGTGTAAAAATCAAAATAAAGGATTCCCCCCCCCCTTTTGAGTTAGTTAAAACGATTACAATTTGATGCATAACCATGCCACAAATAACAACTATATTTATGTTTTTTTTTAAATTTTTTTACCTAATACAAGTTTCTTTTGTGGTTTAAAAAAAAGCTGCATGACTAACAAGAGTACAGGGACTCAGCGCTAATTCCAAATGCACTTGCACCAAAAAACTCACAATGGTCCATAAGTGCACAAAACTAGCTTGTTTTTTTTATTTTTGTTTTTTTGAGACACCGAAAAAGTACTTTACTGCAAAAGTAGGGCAACTGAAGTCGGCAAGACCGAGCCAAAACACTGAGTTTGGAGTAACACATGCTTGTACATCCCATATCTTTCTTGTTTTTAGTCGAAACGTGTTCGAATGTCATGTAAATACCTTATGTAAACCTTCCACAGTGTTTGGCAGAGTAATTGCAATCAACTTTTCCACTTAGATTTATACTTCTCCGATATGTACGACGATCTAAAGAATATCACCTAACACTGACTGCCTAGATGTGTTTTAGAAACTGACATGAAATGTGTATACATTTAAAGATATATATATATATATATATATATATATACAGTTCAGAGGAATGACAGAAAAACCTGTTTTTGTTTGAATACTTGCATTTAAAAAGTTAAAGCTAAAACTAAGCAATAAAACACCTGAAAATGTTATTTGCATGTGAGAGTATGGCTTCCAATGGATGAGAGAAAACAAATATCCGTAGAGTCTCCCAAGGCAAATCCGACTTGACCGCTCTAGCTGATTTGAGACGTTCTTTCTCGGTCCTTCTTTCCCAAAAGCAGCCATCTCTGTCAAAGCTCAATAAACATTACTGAGCACCAGTGTCACACCTTCCATTAATACTGCGCACAGCTAGCATATACAGTTAGGCCAAGCTACAGTATAGCAGTAAAAGTCACTTTAAGGTACTTTTGAAATCCCTGGCACTCCAAAACTGAATTTGTTGGAAAAAGAATCTGTACATTGTTTGTGCTGTTGCTGCTGTAAGTGCGGCAGCTTGAGCGATTAACCTGTAAATCATAACTTACAAGTTTGGTCACATTTTGGTTTTTAAAAAGTCTAAAGAAAATCTAAATGATGACTAGCCGTTTATAGGGTGAACGCAAATCATTGGCGTGTAATACAAAAATGTGAAAAGTGTTCTGTAATTCCTTTGGCTAAACCCAAACCCCCTAACAAGACCCAATGAGACCTAAAAGTATGTGGTACAAAAGAGAAGCCACTCAACTTAGTGTGTTTATCAGGTTGTGCTCTCAGACATGTCAATGGAAAAGGGAGGTAGAGGAGAAATGAAATCGGAACAAGGAGAAAGAAACAAGATCTAAATCCTGGGTAGTCGGAAATGTTGCAATGGAGACGATAAGAACATCCCTAGACCAACATTCTGGGTCACACCCGTACATAGCAAGTATTACAGTTATTTACCTCCCCATCCCATCTGATCCCAAACCCCTGGAAACCATGGAAATTAGACGTAGTTAAGTTTAGTTTATATATGTGTCTTCAGGGAGGGGAAGGGCATGCTTGTGTGTGTTCGTGTGTGTGTATACATATTTATATGTGTGCACATGAGCGCGTGCTTTATGTGTATGCGTTCAGACGCTCTTTAGAGCGAGTAGAGTGGATATCGTGAAGCTCCTGCTCCTCCTTGGACTTGATGTCCTCGTATTTCTGCATCCGGCAGGCGTCCTTCACGTAAGCCCAGTTAGCCGACAGCACCATCAGATAGTGCACCTACAGCAACACAGGGGTTAGAGGGGAGGGTTAGTGTTAGTGCTGATGACCCATCTGTACCCAAAAAGGGTATTACTTTGGAGACTTCACGGGGGTTTTGTGGCCCAGTTTAGACTGGATATAAACTAGATCAGTTATTTCCCCCATCGGATGACGTGGTAATCAGTTTCAGCTGAATATAAGCCGGGTTAGTTAGTTCATTTACACAGGTTATCGCTTGTAACTGCTGGGTTAACTTGGGGAGGTGGGGGAAGGACAGGGACTGAAACGATATTGCAAAACGGAAGAGCCTGGGTGTCATTTTAATCAAGCCAATTAAGGGACGTCATTATGAAAGTCGCTGTCGTGGGTGATGGTGGTGGGGCCCTTGGTGGACAGAGAGTGTGTCGGGATGTGGGGAGGGACACCCCAGACCGGAGTTGGCTTCAGAAACGCGTGCAGTACCTCCCCGTGCTCTTAGACGTCAGAATGACGTGGTTACGGATGAGGACAGACACTGCCACCACCTATCACAGTAGCCAGATCATTGAAAAAGAGAAAGGAAGAAGGTTACTTGCTGCCTTCCTAACTCCTGTTCACCCTCAAACCTGTATGATTTTCTTGCTTCTGTGGAAAAGAGAATGAGATGTTTTATTTATGCTGAAAGTGCAGTGAAAGTAAATGCTGAGCGGGCTGTCAAGCTCCAAAAAAGCCATATGATACCTTTTTATTTACTGATAATCTTGTCCTTGCCCAAAGTACTTAAATGTTATTCATGTTCTTGTATATTTGAATATGTGCATCAAAAGAAACCAGGCTAGGTTTGACATCAATGTAGGTAAGCGTCATTGGTTCTTGTGTCTCATAACCAACTGTGATGGGCCAAATGTATTCCATATTACTCCATATTCATGTGCGTTTTTAAAGAATACAAATTAGAACCATGACTGAAGGGAAAGACTTACAATGCCTTTTAGGGTGCATTTTTGGTCACCATTTACTTTCAATGTGTGAAACGTCTGTGAAACGTTCAATGTTTGGAACAACAGAATAAATAACTGATGCCAAAATTTTCATTTTTGGATGAACTATCGCTTTAAATTTGGATGGTTCTGAAAATTATGGTATGACTAATGCACTTCCAGGACAAAAATGGCTCCTGCAGTTCCATTGCAATGCCACAGTCGCTTCTTCTTTGCTGAAGTTCCTATGTGCACCAATGAGTGGCGTTGTTGCTGCACAAATCAGCAAACTGCAATTATGCAGCAATGTTTCCTGAAAGGTATGATGTAATTATATAATCAAAAGAGCACAAATTATGATCCAATTCTGTAGACTCTTTGTTTCTAAGTACTTAATGTCCAAGCTGTTTCCTCATTTCCAAACCATTGTGGAATGCAATTAACTCACATAAATGATGCCAGACTGTTGCCTTTGCAGAAAACAAACGCATTGTGCTTTTCACACACACTGCAAGGAAGCTTAAGCCGAAGACAAAAGCACAATGCAGTACAAAAACACTTACAGTGTATTGACTGAATCAAATTAATTTGAAACTATTCTATTTATCTTCTACATAAGCTCTAATATTAACCAATGAAAGACAGCTTTCCAAGGTTCAAACCAAAGGGTAGAAAAGCTGCCTCACAGAAAATGGTGTCTCACAATCACTTATCGCCGTTCCAAACAAGCTTCTCTCCTTCCTTCCCTCTCCTCTTCTGTTTCCATGGCAACAACACCTCCTGCATTTTCAATGATGAGTGTTCCTCTCCCTCTCTCTGTCTCCTCTCTTTGCTCACTCACTATTTTACAAGAGGCCTTGGATGTCTATTGCATTTCAGACAAGCCTTTAGCCTGTAATTCTGAACAAGTCCTTGATTTCTATAACATACTTGCTGTGCTTAGATTTCATATTACCTCGCTTGCAGGTGTCACTGCATTCATAGGATTAATGAAACTCATAAATCAATCCATATTTCATTTATTGCCCTGAAAGGAAATTTAGATTCAGGGAAAATTCATACAATGCATAAACAGAGCAATAAAGAAAGAAAGATAGAAAGTAAGAGACAGCAATGAAAAAGCTCACCATGGCAATAACGGCTGCTCCAGCCCCCGCAAGTGCACAGACAAACAAGTGGAATGTCAGATCCAGCTGGAGAAAGAGACAAAAAAAGACTCTGAAGAGGAGAAACCTGGATGGTTTTCACTGAAAAATCATCAAGTGCAGATAAACCCAGGGCCAGATTTAATGGTGCAAATACTGGTAAACTGACTACCAGAAATCTTAGTAAATCACAATGCATGATTAAATGCTCTCAATAAATGTTGTGCCTAAAAGGAAAACTCGTACAAATGTATATGCAATAAGGTCAGCCTCAAAAATAACCCACGTTTCACTCTTACAGAAAAACCACATGAACTTCACATGCTCAATCACGTTAAAATCACATGTGAAATATGTGAAACTCATGTGAAACATGTGGTTTTGGAAAGTGTTAATATGTAAATGTCTGAAACCCATGTGAACAATATATATAAATGCATCATTCATTCATTCATTCATTCATTCAACAAATGTGGACACGTGTGGACAATATGTGATCACATGGGTTTCAAACATTTACACCATTAAAATGTTCCAAAATGTGTTTCATATGTGTTTCACATATTTCATATGTGATTTTAACATGTGATTGAGCATGTGAAGTTCATGTGGTTTTCTGTTTCTGTAATTTTTCACTGCGTGTCTTTAGCAAATCATGCTTGTGCAAGCTGTAAATCTGGCCCTAGATCTTCAAAATCATCTTAAATAATAAATTCTAGGCTACTGTGCCATCTTTACTATAATAATAATACTATTGTGAAAGCATAACATCCACTGGCATATGGGTTGTGGTACTGTCCATACAACAAGCTGCACAATCTTGCAAATAAATATTACATTTTTAGTATTACATATTTATATGAAGGAATCCCCGCTGCACTACGCGACTTCAGACTTAAAAGCATGGAAAGGTTCACAATTTATTCATATTCTCTCTCTCACTCCCAACAATTATTTTATGCCATAGGTCACTGTCTGTAAAGGCGGACTGAATTTAGATGAAGGCCATCAGTCAGCATAAAATAGGCCCTGCTTCAGAACTGCCAACTGACCTCATTAGATTCACACAACTTGATGAAGTTCTCAGAAGCCGTGCACAGTCTTTTCTCCTCACCAATGGACACAATTCCTGCAGTTCAAATAAAGGAAGATGTTAATGGCAGATTCATTAATAATGCAATGATAGTACATGCTTAAATGACAATTAGGTATGTCAAAGCCGGCATTTAGTGTTCAGTTGTGTCATGCTTAGGTCATTTTATTGCATAATAGTTCTCACTATGGCAAAAAGGTGTCCAACAATGAATAGTGGTGATTTAACTATGTAACTGTATTTTATGCTGCAACACTGTTTTAAAAATTGCCTTATATTTTAATGTCATAATGGTGCTTCCAGCAGTAATGATACACCATGGTGTTTTGTAATATGTAACAAGAGTGTTTAATGATATCCTAATAGTGTTTATATATGCATTGTCATTTAGCTGTTGCAAAAAACAAAAACAGTTATATAATAAATGAGTTATTTTTCAATATCCTCTGCTTATGGATGTCTAATACATGCAGCCTGTTACATTCAGTAATTTCTGCACTAAAACATCCAATAAACTGTAATATAAAACAACATCTAAGTTCTTTGAAATAATCTCAGCCAGCCCTACAGCCAACTAGACTTGGCATTCACTGCTAACTTACTCACTTATTTAGTAATTCAGATGCACTTTAATCAGACTAGAAAATCCTAGGCAGCATTCCTATCCATGGATCCATATTTTATTTTGCTGGCTAAGTATTTTGTCTTTAAACATGTCTCCTTAGATGAGCTACGCACCAAACTGACGCAGGTCGAAGCAAAGGTTGGAACTTTCCACTAGTGTGGTGTTCTGACAGGTGTTCCAGATGTTGAAATACATGAAGACTGGCAGGGAGCTGAAGGCTGTAACTCCTAGCCAAGCCAGCATGAAGATATAAGTAAGCATGATGAACTGAGGAAGAGAGAAAGAGATATGTGTGTTTCTCTTGATAACATTCAAGTATTCCCATATTATACCATATGGAATTAACTAAATATAAGTATAAATATGCCAAATTTATACTGCAAATGTGGCATAGAAGTGCTTATGAAGTGTCTGAAGTGTCTTTACACAGATTAAATAATGCTGCTAAGAGGTGGCATAAATGCATATACAGTAATTACAGCTATATACCGTACTGTGATACTAGGGCTAAGGTGGGTCAGAGCAGGCATAATTTAGTCTGGCTTTAATGCTGCATTTTGTCTTCACACTGAATTCTGAGCTGGCATAGATCAG